CGATCCCCTCGAGGTGAGTTTAGCCTTGGGACGAAAGATAGTGACCTCAGCTAAAGCTTCAGATCTTAGCCTTTCCATCGGTGGCCGAGTATTGTCTACTAACGCGTTTGTTCTCGAGATGAGGGCTTTTGACCTTATTCTCGGAATGGATTGGTTATCCTTTTATCATGCAGATATCAGATGTCATGACCGGGAGATTACTCTTTATCTTCCGGGAGACGACTCGATCACTTTCTTTGGCTCCAGGAATCGTTCATTGCCTCATGTTGTTTCGATGGCGAAAGCAACTAAGTTGCTGCGACGAGGCAACTGCCAGGGATATCTGGTGAGCCTTGTCAAAGATTCTCAGAAAGCACGATCACCTCACGATGTTCCAGTTGTTCGTGAGTTTGTGGACGTGTTCCCAGACGAGCTTCCAGGAGGACCGCCTAACCGGCAGGTGTAGTTCTCTATCGATATCATTCCAGGAGCTGGTCCAGTATCCAAAGCCCCGTATCGTATGGCGCCGAAGGAGTTGCAGGAGCTTAAGGCGCAGATTCAGGAGTTATTACGACTCGGTTTCATCCGACCGAGCGTGTCACCTTGGGGAGCACCCGTTCTCTTTGTCAAGAAGAAGGATGGATCCATGCGCATGTGTATCGACTACCGGGATCTGAACCGGTTAACGATCAAGAACAAGTATCCGCTTCCCAGGATCGACGACTTATTTGATCAGTTGAGGGGAGCCTGTGTATTCTCAAAGATTGATTTACGATCAGGCTACCACCAGCTGAAGATTAAGGAGTCAGATATCGCTAAGACTGCTTTCAGGACTCGTTACGGCCATTACGAGTTCGTCGTCATGCCATTCGGTCTCAGCAATGCTCCAGCAGTTTTCATAGACCTGATGAACCGTATTTTCCATCCCTACCTCGATCAGTTTGTTATTGTCTGTATTGACGATATTCTTATCTACTCAAAGAGCAAGAAGGAGCACGAGGAGCATCTGAGGGTGGTTCTCGAAACCCTCAGACGAGAAAAGTTGTTTGCAAAATTCTCCAAATGCGAGTTCTGGTTCCAGCGAGTAGCTTTTCTGGGTCATGTGATTACTCAGGCAGGTATCGAGGTGGATCCTTCTAAGGTCTCAGCTGTTCAGAACTGGTCGACACCGAGGAGTCCGTCCGAGGTTCGCAGTTTTCTCGGTCTAGCTGGTTACTATCGCAGATTTATCGAAGGCTTTTCCAAGATTGCCCTCCCTCTATCCCAGCTGACGAGGAAGTCTGTGAGGTTCGAGTGGACTGACCGATGTGAGTCGAGCTTTCAGGAGCTCAAGAGGAGATTAACTTCAGCACCGGTGTTGACTATTCCCGATCCTTCTTGGAGTTTCACCATTTTCAGTGATGCTTTGAGACAGGGCTTGGGATGTGTCCTTATGCAGGATGGCCAGGTCGTTGCGTATGCTTCACGTCAGCTTAAGCCGCACGAACAGAACTATCCGACGCACGACTTGGAGTTAGCGACAGTCGTTCATGCTCTCAAGATTTGGCGACACTATCTTTACGGCGGTCATTGTGAGATTTGCACAGATCATAAGAGCTTGCAGTATATTTTTACTCAGAAGGAGCTCAACATGAGACAGCGCCGTTGGCTAGAGCTCGTCAAGGATTACGATTGCTCTATTCAGTATCATCCGATAAAGGCGAACGTCGTTGCTGACGCCCTAAGCCGAAAGGTGAGGGGTGACTTGACGTACGTCGTTACTCAGCAGAGTCCATTGATTCAGGAGTTTGCCCGGATGCAGCTTCAGGCGATCGATGCACTTCCCACAGCCATTTCGGGGAGTGTCAGTGCCAGTGTCAGTGCCATGCAGATTCAGCTGACGCTGAGAGAGAGAATCCAGCGAGAGCAGGCTTCTAACGAGTTTGTTCGTGTCATGGATGCTAAGGTTCGCGCCGGAGGCGTCGAGGGTTTTCAGCTAGGTACCGATGGTGCCTTAGAGTTCAGAGACAGGATCGTGGTCCCGAAAGTCGAGGCGTTGCAGAAGGATATTTTATCAGAGGCTCATACCGCACCCTACTTAGCCCATCCCGGGAGCACGAAGATGTATCATGACCTAAAAGGGTCGTTCTGGTGGCGAGGCATGAAGAAGGACATCGCCGAGTTTTTCAGGAGATGCTTTACCTGTCAACAAGTCAAAGCCGAACATCAGAGTCCGATCGGCCTCCTACAGCCACTGCCGATTCCGAGGTAGAAGTGGGAGGAAGTCACGACAGATTTCGTTACGGGATTACCGAGGTCGTCTGAACATCACGAGGCTATTTGGGTCGTGGTCGACAGATTGACTAAGGTCGCTCATTTCTTGCCCGTTTCGATGAAGATGTCTTTGGATAAGTTGGCTGAGATATATACCCCTGGGATCATCCGACTCCACGGAGTGCCCGTTACTATTGTATCAGATAGAGATCCCAGATTCATTAGTCGATTCTGGCACAATTTACACGAGGCGATGGGCACGAAGCTAGAGTTCGATTCAGCCTACCATCCGGAGACAGATGGTCAGTCTGAGAGGACCATTCAGACACTCGAGGATATGCTTCGCGCTTTGGTTGTTGACAGGGGTGCTAGGTGGGAGTCGTTGTTGCCGTATGCCGAGTTCGCGTATAACAACATCTATCATTCTTCTATTCAGATGGCTCCTTACGAGGCACTTTACGGTCGTAAGTGTCGTTCCCCTCTTTATTGGGACGACATCGGAGAGCGACGAGTACTCGGTCCTAAGTTGATCGAGGAGACAGCAGATCAGGTCAAGTTGATCCAGCACAGACTCAAGACAGCTCAGAGTCCACAGAAATCTTTAGCCGATCATCATCGACGAGACATTCAGTTCGAGGTTGGCGAGCCAGCTTTTCTCAGAGTTCGTCCGATTCGCGGAGTCGTTCGATTCGGAAAGAGAGGGAAGCTGCACCCTCGATTCATTGGCCCGTTTGAGGTTCTCGAGCGAGTAGGCGAGGTCGCGTATGGATTAGCCCTACCTCCCGAGCTATCAGGCATTCATTATGTTTTTCACGCATCTATGTTGCGTAAATACGTGTGCGACCCCGATCATGTCATTCCTCATTCAGATATTCAGGTTCAGCCAGATCTTTCGTACGAGGAGCGACCGGTAGCTGTACTAGACCGTCAGCTTCGTCGGCTCCGAAAGCGAGATGTTCCCCTCGTGCGTATTCAATGGGATCGCCACAGAGCTACTTGGGAGGAAAAGTCCGATATTCGCGCTCGTTTTCCAGATTTTCAGTTTTGATGTACATATTTCATGTTCCATGTACATATTTCATGTTTACTCAGTTATGTTTTAAATTTCCGAGGACGGAAATTTTTAAGGAGGGAGGATTGTAATATCCCGTCAGTTTATTAATATAAATCATGTTTTTAGTTCCGATATAATAATATTTTCGAGTATTATTTTTGGAATTAATTAATTATTTTCAGTGGAGATTACCCGAAATTATTTTCGACGTTCCGTTTACGTTCGAAATAATTTTGGTAATTAAGCATTATGTTTAATTAAATAATTAAACATAATGAGGTGATTAATTGATAATTAATCACACACATTAGTCCAAAAGCCGTACCGATTTTCCCAAATTATTCTCAAATGTCGAGAGCAATTAGTGGGGGAAATTTGGTCTTCAAATAGTGAATCATGAGGTGTCTCTCACTCATGAGATTAAGAGTGACTAAGCATATTATTTGATGACTTAGCATTAAAGATATTATGTGGCATAAATGGGTAGTGCCACCAAATTAACCCCACCTCTTAAGTTTTCTCTCGGTCAAGTATATATTGAAGGGAGTTGGGAAAAATTTCAGCTTTTCCTTCCCATTCATGTTAATTTTATTGAGTGCTGAGAGAGTTAAGTGAAGTGAGAGTTAAACCGCACGCAAGAGTACCGCTAGCACGCACGCAAGAAGTAACCGCACACACGGCGACGCAAAGCACGCGGAGAGCCACGCACGAGCACGGGAGTCCGAGGAATTGCTGTCAGTTGAGCATAATCGGAGGTAATTCCCGTGTGATTATAGGCTAAGATTAGCATG